TTTATCATAATTGACAGAGTTTTTGTCGATGATATAAGTAAAATCGACAATTTTTTGACTGTCGATTATATTGTTGTCGATTATACGCTGTTTTCTAGTAGTGATAATCACAGTTACATTTGTCAATTAGAGCCATAGCAACTTTTGAATTAGTTTCAAGAACAAGCTTGTTAAAACCCTTGCTTAAGGCAATAGACAACCATCCTAGATTGCCCAAAGTTCAATAGTTAAACTAGTGGTGTACCCAACATGATGGAAGAACCCTAGGATCCACCTATCAAGATCATCTCTAAACACTCCACCTGCAACACCAAGACCCGGGTTACCAAGTGCTGAGCTGTCGATGTTCAGCTTGATGAAACCAGTATGAGGGGTGGTATAACCAACATGAATAGTGACAGGAGAATTTCTAGTAGTTGGAATATTAAGAGCTTGATTAAACTCCCACACTTTCTTGTAAATAAAACCCTTAACTTCAAAAATCAAGGAGTGTTGCTTGTTATGAATTCATTGGTTTCTAAAGTACCAAATAACCCAAATGGTAGAAGAAAACAAAGTTGCAGCCTTATGAATGCAATGTGCTTTAAGCCAACTCTAGAATTCAAGATCCTAGTACCTAGACCAAAGACTACATGAAAATACACACTTCCTAAAAATATGATTAAGAGTTTTAGGGCCTCCTTGACAACGAGGACATACATTAGAACCAGATATACCCCAATTAAATAAGGTGTCAAAAGTAAGAAGCCTTCCATGGACCAATGACCAAACAAACTATTGAATTCTAGGAAGAGCATCAATTTTCCAAATCCAAGACCAGTTTGTAGATTGAGTAAGAGGAAGATTTTTTACAAGACAATAACCAGACTTGGTCTGAAATAAGCCATTAGGAGAGTAGTTCCAACAAAAACTATCATTATCAGAACCGTTCAATTGCATAGGAATGGCTCTAATGTTTTTAGATAGATCAAGAGGTATGGAGTAGCTAATCACTCCCTCATCAAGTCCTCCATTATCTAGAACAACATCTTTGACTCTTACACTAGTAGCTTTCATAATAATGGGGCCACTTAAGATGGAGGTCAAAGGTTCTTTACCAAACCAATGAACATGCCAAAAGGATATATTTACACCTGTTCTAGGAACCCATTGAATTCCTTTCTCTAGGATGTGTTTCCCCTTAGCAACATTCCTAAGCATAAGAGAGGCCTTGTGATATTACTTTAAGGATCATCAATCTTAAATTTAACTCGAAAAGCCTGGACCCAAAGTTTCTCTTTTTCAATGAGGAGTCTCCAGTGGACCTTGGCCATAGCCACTTGGTTAGCTTCCTTAGATGAACGAATACCAAGGCCACCTAACTTTCTAGGTTGAGTAACACAATCCTAAGAAATTAGATTAACTTTCTTCTTCTCGACAGTAGATCCCCATAAAAATTTATGAGAAAGGCTATTAAGTGCATTATGTATAAAGGAAGGAAAAAACACACCTTGCATGTAGTACCTAGGGACGGCCGACAGAACAAAAGAGACAAGGGTAGACCTCCTTACCAAGGAAAGCATATTAGCTTTCCAACCAGCAAGTTTATTCCAAACTTTGTCAACAATAAAATTGCAATAGGCTTTAGTAATTCCCTTGGTTGTAATTGGGAATCCAAGGTATTTCCCCAAAGAGTGAGTTTCAGCAATATTAAGTTTGGAACAAACTTCTCTCTTGGTTTCAGCTTACACATTATTAAAGAACAGGAATTTGGATTTCTACAAGTTATTTCTGACTAGATCTAGTACGAAAGAATTTAAGCACTTCATCTAAATAAGCAGCATTAAAAAGGTGGCCTTACCAATAGAAATAAGGTCATCTGCAAAAAAGAAACGAGAAAGAGTAGGATCCCTTTTACCAAGCTTAGTCCATTTCCATTGACTAGAACCACTCAATTTTAGGAAAAGATATTCCACACATAGAATAAATAGGTAGGGAGAGAGAGGATCTCCTCATCGAAGTCCTTTTGAAGGAAGAAACTAATTTGTCAATCCCCCATTAATGTTAATAGCAAACCTGACTAAATTGATACAAAACATGATGATAGAGATAATTTTGGGGGGGAAATTAAAGAAAATAAGAGCTTCCCTAACAAACCCCCACTTAAGGCGATCATAAGCCTTCTCAAGATCTAGCTTGACAATCATATCTCCACCATGACCGTTCTTTTTAGTAAAACTGAACACAAGTTCTCGGAGGAGAAAAACATTATCAAACCCATTCCTACCAGGGAGGAAACTAGATTAGAGTGGGGAAATAAGGTCTCCCATAATGCTTTGAAGTCTCAGAACAATGATTTTTGTGAGAATCTTATAAATGACGTTACATAAACCAATAGGACAAAATTGCCAAATGACCTTAGAATTTTGAAGTTTTGGAATAAGAGAAATTAAACTTTGACTCCAAGATTCTAGAATACTTCCCAAAGAAAAAACAACATAGACCTTCGTAGAGACTTTTTCACCCACAAGATCCCAAAATTTGTGGTAAAAAGCAGCATGTAAGCCATTAGGTTTAGGAGCCTTCCACGGCTTCATAAACTTAACAACTAGCCAAATTTCATTATTTGTTGAAGGTTCACTAAAAGAATCCCACAAGTCACCATTGACCTTAGGGCCCCTAGTGAATCACCAAATGAATTACAATAAGAGTACCCATGGGAAGAAGTATAAAGATCTTTAAAATAAGTCAAAACCAGAGCTTGAATTCCTACAGCATCATACTATCAATTACCCGAAGGATCTTTGAGGTCAAGGATTCTATTGAATGACCTCCTTTTAAGAGTGGTGACATGAAAAAACTTTGAGTTTCTATACGCTTCTTGAATCCACTGAGAACGAGACTTAAGAAACCATAGATCCTTTTCTTGCTTGAGAATGCTTTGATATTCTAGATTGAGGTCTTTCTCAAACTGAAGAAGAAACGAGCTATTTTTATACTTGAAAGCACGCTAAATACCTGCTAGTTGAGCATAAATCTCTTTTTTCTTTTTAGGAATATAATGAAAGTTAGAAAAGCTCCAAATCTTCACCGAAGCTTTGAAATGGTTTGCATACTTAGCAGTAAACTGGTTATTATACAGCCATTTAGAAGCGACTAAATCTTTAAAAGAAGAATGATCAAACCAAAATTTTTTGAGCCTAAATGGTTTATTGCCAAGAGTTGGGACATAGGGATCTAAATTCAGTAAGATAGGACAATGATCTAAAAAAATTATAGGGAGGTGAACCACAGAAGCCTTCAGAAATCTAACTCTCCACGTAGGATTTCCCTAAGCTCTATCCAATCTCTCACGAATAACACAATGAGGATCTCATATTAACCCAAGTATACTTAGGTCCATAGTAGCCTAAATCCAACAGATTACAAGTGTCCATACAGTCAGTATATGCTCTAATCCTATATCAAGGAACTCGATTACCTCTAAATTTCTCAGACTGAGAGATGATATCATTAAAATCACCAATGGCTAGCCAAGGTTCGTTGACAATTTGAGAGAATTGGGTTAGATTCTCCCAAAGAAGACATCTTGTATTGAACTGAGGGCGGTTGTACACCGCATAAATAAACCAATTAAAATCAGTACATTTTGGATGGTGATTTACCTTAACTAGAGCATGGATGACTTGAGGGCCTTTGTTGAAGATGTCCACATTAAACCAAGTATTGTCCCAGATCAACCATATACCATCTATAGAGCCATCAGCTTCAACAATCTCCCACCTAGAAAGCCCAAGACTCTATGCTACCTTAATAGCCTTCGTGCTAGCTAATTTAGTCTCCATAATAATGAAGATACCAAGGTTATGTTCCATTTTGATCTACATAGCAATTCTTTTGAAGTTGTTGTTGGTTGCTTCGTGGCAATTCCATGAAATAACCTTTATTGACTTAGCAAATTGACTAAAGGAATTCATGACCCATCTATCTAGCTCTTGCGTCCAGTGGAACAAGTTGTCCATCTTGCCCTTGATCAACATGTTAACCTTTGGGAAGTACTACGGCAAGATTGTGTGGACATACTGAGCTCTCATTGAGCACGATAGTTCCTCCAAGTGGACAACTAGGTAGACCATTTTCATTGCTCCCATCATCAAAATCTTGTCCAGATAGAGATTGGACAATGGAATGGTTGTGATCTTAGAAGAGATCTGATCCTCCATATTTCCCAACCTATGATTTCCTCCATCGAGTTCCATTGAGCCCTCGTTGTAATGCACATATCTGGAGCTTGGATTTAGGGTGGAAGTGGGATCCATTCCTGTGGTGGTGGGAGAAAGGGAGTAGGGTTGATACCTTTCACACCACTATCAGGTTGACCCACTTCTTTGCAATCGTGTCTAGATCCTAACCTTCAACCAGGTTGGGGTCCCTTACTAGAAGCCTTGAAAGAGCGTTTTCCATTGGAAGGACTTTCTTGTCCTCAACCAGAAGGATGTCCCATGCGCAACTCAGCGTGCTGAATGATTTTGGATCCATAGCTCAAATTTCCAATGAAGGGAGAGATTGCAGCTTGTAAATTCTAGCCATTGTTGAGGGGTTTCGCCTGTTCAACGAATGTTCTAAAAATGGACTTTCCACATGTTCCTTTAAGGCAAGCCGCAATCTTATCTTTTTAAGCACGTGATTTATCATACACAATATCAACAGAATGCAGCTTAGTATGGGCCATATTAAGATTTTTTGGGCTTACCTAGTTATTAACTTGGGCTTGGCTTTTTTTTTTTTTTTGTAGATTGATCCATTCTCCTAATAAAATCAACAGAGCTGTGGGGATCAACGGTCTTATCATTTAATGTAGCCTCGATTGTGCCGTTCATCTTAGGACCCATGGAGTTAGACCCATTCTTTGAACCAGTGAGTTGACTCATTGAGAAAAAGGGAAATTAAAACATTAAGAAAACAGAAGAAAAAAAAAGGGGAAATTAAAACATTAAGAAAACAGAAATCAATTCTTACAATAGACATTTATTAAAAATGCACACTGTTTTTTGTTTCTATTTACAGATCCTACATTGCAGCTTGATGTTGCCTCCAGTGGCTACTAGGTCACCTTTATCTTGGACAATGTGGTGCACATACTTTGACTTGGTGCTTATGAGGTAATTAAACTCTTTGAATAATCGTTTACATAGTTATCTATTATATATTTGACCAAATCACAAAGCAAACAATGTAAAGGTTAAATCAGCTCCACTTCAGCTAGCAGATATTAACATAATCTTTCTAAATTCAAGACACATAAGCTAACAAATATTAATGAGATATTCTTAAGGGGTACATGTTAAATGTTTATTTATTATATATTTTTATTATTAATTTTTATAAAAAAATTATAAAAGTAAACTTTGTTTTCAATACTAATATCATGTGAAACATTTTAATTAAATAGTTAATAGAATTAAAGTTTACTTTTATTTTTTTATATAAATTAATGAAAAAAAAATGCAACAAATGCAATTAAGTAAAATTATTCCATACAAGTGTAGAAACTGAAATGCAAAGCTATTTGGTATTTATACTGAACCTACACACGATACAACCCAAATATTAGGTTAAGAAAATAACGTAGGCAAACTTAAAGAAAGATATCAATCCAAACCAAAGACATCTGTTTTCGAAATTCCATTGATTCATATGTAAGATCTGATTTTCTCTTTATTCCTATTGACAACTCTAGAGTACAAAGAGAGCCAACAACTATGAAGTTAACCCAATATAAGTTGAATTCACAAAAAGAGACACTCGAACTACTAGGAAATAGAAAGTTGAAACAGACGTCCACAAGGAGTTAGGTGGGATGGCAATTTCTCAGCAACAAGGGTTGTTGGCGTTTATCAGAACAATTTGACTTTAAATTAAGGTGCATTTGTTGCATTTTTTTATCATTAATTTATATTAAAAAATAGAAGTAGACTTTAATTCTATTAACTACTTAATTAAAATGTTTCACAAGATATTAGTATTGAAAACAAAGTTTACTTTTAATCCTAGAAAGAACAAAAGAATTCAAGAAACGGGTGTTTGTACAAAACGAAAAGAGACGAAGGGAGATAAGAACTCATTATTTTTCTTCAATTAGAGAGAATTTGTTACAGGTTTTTGTAAAGAAGTGAAATTACAATACAAAACACCTTGGTGTGGCAATTTTGTTATTGTTTTTTGAATTATTATAGTTTCCGTCTAAGTTGACTATGATCATTGTTGTAAACTTCATTGTTTGGGCTTGGCCTTTCTTGTAAATTTCATTGTTTGGGCTTGGGCTTTCTTATTTTTCCCCAATATTGGGAGTTTGGGACTTTCAATTCTCTGGCTAGGTTCTTTTGTTGGATCCATCATCTAGCCAGCACTCCTTTCCAATTCTGCTCTTTTCCTTTTCACATCAAAACTAGATCTAGAGAATCCAATTAAGACAAGGATCACGAAGTCCTAACTCGATTAGGATTAGCTTACTTACATATATAAATATAAATATATATCTATCCAATGCTTGATTATATGGTACTTTTCACAATGTATTATTCATTCAACATGGTTGGAAGAGTGCGAGGGTATTGGACTTTTATGAGGTATTGTCATCCTCATCGCCAATGCTAGTGGGCTGTAGCTACACAGGTTGCCGGTGGTAAGTGAGGAGGAGGTTTGGGTGGGTCATTTCACTAGAAATGAAGGCCAAACCTTGAGGAGAACTTTGAGAATGCGCCCATTGATTATGATAACATCAATTATGAAGTTCTTTCTTCTTTATACAACGAATTAAGAAAATAAAATTTTAGAAATAGCAAAAAAAATTTGAAGAAACAAAGTGGAGAGAATAGAAAATTTCTAGAAAGAACAGAAGAATTCAAGAAACAGGTATTTGTACAAAAAGAAAAGAGATGGGGGAGATAAGAACTCATTATTTTTCTTCAATCAAAGAAAATTTGTTGTAGGTTTTTGGTAGTTTGTGTGAGGATTTCTATTCTTTATGGTGAGGATAGAAGGACTATGTTTGTGCATGGCGTGTGTACCACATTGGGGAAAAACAAGAAAGCCAAAGTCCAAGCCCAAACAATGAAATTTACAAGAAAGCCCAAGAAAGTCCAAGCCTAAACAATGAATTTACAAGAAAGGCCAAGCCCAAACAATGAAGTTTACAACAATGATCATAGTCAACTTAGACGGAAACTATAATAATTCAAAAAACAATAATCACAGTCAACTTAGACGTAAACTATAATAATTCAAAAAACAATAACAAAATTGCCACACCAAGGTGTTTTGTATTGTAATTTCACTTCTTTACAAAAACCTGTAACACATTCTCTCTGATTGAAGAAAAATACATTTTATTTGTATTGTATTATAATTTCACTTCTTTACAAAAACCTATAACACATTGTCTCTGATTGAAGAAAAATACATTTTATTTGTATTGTATTGTAATTTCACTTCTTTACAAACACAATTCTTTATTGAATCTTTCTGTTCTTTCCTTGCATTATTTCTTGAAATTTTTTTTCCTGTTTCTGAACTTCAATTTCTTGATTTCTTGTATATCGAAGAAAAAGAAATTCATGGCTGATTTCATCGTCATCAGCTCAAAATTATATAGTTAATTTTTCACAATCTTAGTAAGAGAGGGTTAATTGGGATTCATCATGACTTAGGACAATCAATTTTATGGACTTACTGTTATTTGTATGTATGTTGGTTAATTGGTATTGGAAACCCATAGCTATAGCTTGGTTGCACATACATTTTCATGAGCAGTTTAGGGTTGCCTGCTTAAACTCCTATTATTTTTATTTGTATTTTTCGTTTATTAAAAAAAAAAATCAATAGCTTATTAATCTTTGAGGGTCTAATTAAACAGAGCCCCACTTGAACATCGTCGAAAATGCATTTCTGATTGAGCACCTGCCTCTGGTGACTTTTCGTGTCGGACAAATAGGGCATGTTATTCCGAATCTGAGGTGTCTTGGTAATGGATTAACACCTAGGGTTGGAATCGGTGTGGCTCGTTTACTAACCTATCTCAAAGACATGAGCCTCGGTTACCGTGATATATGGGGAGCTCGTTACCGTCTAGGACTAACAGGTTAATTTGTCCATTTTACTCTTTAATTACTGTGTCCTCAATTATTAATTTGTCAATGAAAAACCTCGATTATATAGCTTAGTTTAATTAAAAATGCAAACTGTTGTGTTTGTTCCTATATATTTACAGATGCTGGATTGCAGCTTCGGATTGCCTCCAATGGCCAGTGGGTCACTTTTATTTTGGGCAATGTGGTACACACGCTTGGTGCTTATGAGGTAATTAAACTTTATGAATTATCATATGCCTAGTTATTTATTGTATAGTTTACCAAATTAGATAACAGACAATGTTAGATTAACATATTCTTTCTAAATTCAAGACACATAAATTGATATATTTTTAGGAGCCATGTTAAATGTTTTTTTATTATATTTTTTTATTATTAATTTGTATTAAGAAATTATAAAAGTAAATTTTGTTTTCAATACTAATATCATGTAAAACATCTTAATTAAATAGTTAATAGAATATTAAAGTCTACTTTTTTTTATATATAAATTAATAATAAAAAAATGCAACAAACGGATCTTTAAAGTAAAATTAATTGTTCCGATGAGCACAAACAGCCCTTGTTGCTGAGAAATTGCCATCCCACCAAACTCCTTGTGGGCTGTATGTTTTAAATTTTCTATTTCCTAGTAGTTTGAGTGTTTCTTTTTGTGAATTCAACTTATGCTGGGTTAACTTCATAGTTGTTGGCTTCCTCTGTACTATGGAGTTGTCAATAGGAATAAAGAGAAAATCAGATCTTATATCTTTCTTTTAAGCTGGCCTACACTATTTTCTTAACCTAAGATTTGAGTCACACCGTGTGTAGGTTCAATATAAATACCATATAACTTTGCATTTTAGTTTCTACACTTGCACCATGTCTATCAATTTCACATCGCATGTCTTGTTATAAATTCTAATAAGATGCTACACCGTAGTAGTTCATGACATCTTTAATTGTTTTTTGATTTGAAGTTAAGGTTATATGACTAGAATAGTGGTTCCCCAAAAGGCTCTACTTTTAACATAGACTTAAAATTTTGGCATTTGTTTCTTACTTGAAAAAAATTATATAATTTCTTGCTGTCTTCAGTTATAGCTTGATTGAAACTTGTTCTTACAATTTTCTAAATTTTAATAAATGTCTATTATAAGAACTGATGGCTATTTACTTAATTTTCTAATTTCTTTTTTTCTTTCTTTTTATTATGTAAACTAGTTCTTTCTTGACGCGAGGGCTGGTGAGCACTTTCATCTCTGGGAGACGTCGTTTAGCTTCCAGAGGTTCTATAGCGTTGTTCTACATGCAGCGACTCAGCTATGAGTCTTGCAGCCCACCTTCTGTGTCTGGGTTGCTAGAGAGGCCATGTGGTTTGAGCACTATAGCTCACACCAAAGCTTCTTCCTATATGCTCTACCTTAGATATTAGATATACACTGCATACATGGATATACATTTTATATGGATATACATTTTGATACGGTTGGAATTTTGAGCCACATATATGGATATACATTTTGATACGGTTTGAATTTTGAGGTACTTTCTTAGTTTTACCAAGGTTTATTACTAGTTTTGTACCCTTCAACTTTCCTAACTTCATGAATTTTCAATTTTATGGCTGTAAATTTAAACCCTAATTATGGAGCTGTCTATTCTCAATACAATAAGCTGGGGATCCATCGTGGTCTTTGCGCAAGAAATCCTTGTGCTCCTCCATGCTAAGCTGGTCTCTAAACCTAATGAGTTTATTGCAAAATGAGTAGAAATATATTTATACATAAATTTTATTTATTATATTTATATAAAATTTTAATTATTTATTTCTCTATTCTCAATACAATAAGCTGGGGATCCATCGTGGTCTTTGCGCAAGAAATCCTTGTGCTCCTCCATGCTAAGCTGGTCTCTAAACCTAATGA